AACCAGGGGTACTCACTGGAATAAACTAAAATATATTTATAATCAGTTATTCGTTTGAGTTAAGGAATGAATATGTGAAATAAATAAATATTTGACCAGAGGAAAATAAATAAGTTCTTATCAAGCACGTATACATGATCATAGAGTTCTTCTAAACAAAAACAAATGTACGAATAAAACATAGTTAATTGTATAACATACGAAATCGATCCTCTAATTTTTGTGTTTTTCTTTTTCAAACATTCAACTAGTAGATTTGCATCTAATTTAGATATATGTTCTTGTTGCATACATTTTAAATCATCAACATCACATCAAAATTCTTCTTTATTCATATAATTTGTTTCTAAGGATTCGAAATCGGATAAAGTTCAATAATATCTCATTTTATCTGCATATGAAAATCATGATAGAATTTAATTTATTTGATAGGAAAACGAAATCACCTGTTCAAATTTTCAATTCCTATTGGAGCTTGCTTTACACAGCCATTTTCAACAATCGATGTTGCTTCACCAATAATAACATTCAAATAAAAATTAACAGTAGACAGTGGTAGTCGAGATACTTTATTTTTATATGTACTTATTCATATTTGAGGGTATGGGTGTGAGCAGATTCAAAGAAAAATTTCGAGAACAACAGTACCGCATCGTCATAAAATTAAAATCCTATCTATTTTTTTCTATATCAATTGATAGAAAAAGAGGAATTCTTTGTCTATTAAATTAATAAGTGATTTCGTCACTACGAAAGTAAGATGAAGCTTATGAAGATCGAATCGATTAACTGTAGATTCTAGATAAAAACAAACTGACGGAAAAGTATGTTCTATTCTATTAGCCCTTATATTGGAATCGGAAAGCAAGAAAATTTTTCACTACCATCAATAAATCATTACAACGTATCATTCTATCAGCTGAGTTAAGTTCCTGAGTTCCATGAAGATTGAAAGAAAGACAGTCTCTACTTGTTGACTCAGATGAGTACTAGTGTATATTTACCGATTAAAGTGAAGTCTCTGTTATTTGTTGATTATAACAGAAAGTTTAACAATAGTTAATAGATATTTCTTTATTGGTATCGTTTGATTATAGGAAGTCCTTCATCATAATTCTATATAAAATATATCTAATGTTTCGATGATCTTAAAAGATTTGTTCATTATCGGAGTAGTAAAATTAATTTAATGAGCTCTAAAAGAAAAACGAAATCCAAAGCTTTTTTTGAATATATTCTCATCCTAGTTACTTACTTCAATAATAAGCAAGAAAAGTAAGAAAATAAAATGCTTTCATACAGAAAAAAAAGTATAGAGATACTCTCACGCTCGTCGCCGAATGTACTGAAGATTTCAGCTTAGAAAAATACTTTCAGGAATCAAGAATGAAAGAAGAAAATAGAACGAACGTAGAATATTTTATGTCATGATTCGAGTTTTTCCTGAATGGATTAGATTACCTGCTCTCAGAGTAAATATTGATACGATCTATCAGATGCATATATTTCCTTCCTTCGAGAATAGTAAATTCTTCGAATATGTGTATATCATTAGCTTATATCTAGACTATAAAAAATACGACACTACGTGCATTGTTCACTGATAAATTAAATGGACATTAGTATTTCACAGAGAGGCTTCGAATAAACGAACGTTTCACCACTCTTTAGGAATAACACTCCATATCAATAGTTTGCAAAGATATAAAACAATATCATTAATCGTTCCGTTGTTGTAATGGTATTATACTTTATTCTCAGCGTAACCAAATACAAATTTTAGAATGCTGATTTCATAAAGTTCATTTAAATAGAAAATTCAAGGGGGGAAAAGCGGATTGTGGATCGCAGGGATCCTCTGTATCCCCTGTATCCCCGATGGATTGTACGTATCCCGGATCCCACGATCCGCAAGTTCTATATAATGGAAACATGCTTGGGTCCTCAAGACTTATTTTATGACAATACCCTTGAGTCCTAAAGTCCTATATTTTGATGATAGTTCTAGGCCTTCAAGACCTATATTCTGATGATAGTCCTAGCTCTTCAAGCCCTATATTATCATAATAGCTCTACGTCCTCAAGCTCTATACTCTGATGATAGTCCTAGGTTCTTAAGCCTTATATTCTGATAATAGTCCCGAGTCCACAAGCCCCATATTGTGATGATGGGTCTGGGTCTTCAAATGCTCGATTTTTATGATAGATTTAAGTTCTCCACCCGTGAACGATGGGGATATCGATCTGTTTTCAAGTTTTATTGTATACAGAGACGAGTGATGCTTCATTGACAGTGATAAAAATGGATGGTAGTTAATATGTAAAAATTTTATCTCGCGAAAGAAACATCGATTTTGGTGTATCTGAATTATTTAAAATTACATAAAAAACTGTTATTAGGACAGAAATAATTGGGAAATGGGATTTCCCAATCTTTTCATTCTTATTTTAGATAAAAATGAACGGATGGAAGATTTTTGATAAATAAATGAGCTCATCAGTCATAAATGAATCTTATGTTTTCTGGGTTTGCTATCCTTCATTTTGCGGTGAGCTATGCATAAAGTAATATAGAAAAAAAAACTTACTGCCAATGTTGTATTCTTTCTAATCCCTTTTGCGATAATTATCAATTATCAACTCATATAATAATCATTGTTTGTTTTATGAAACAAGATTTTAACTTATTAATTATCATACGTTTTCATTACCATTAAGGGAGCGTTACTTATCTCTGTATAAAATAGCACATGGGGAATAAGAATTGCCATCATTATATATGAATTGATGAATCATGGATACCTACATAGTATACCAATAACAATAGCAATAGCAATAGCAAAACCAAACCAATACCAATACTAGCAATACCGTATTGACATTGTGATGTCCGCTTTAAGCCTCCCCCCTCAGAAAAGCCGATTTTTCAAAAAAAAACGAAATCGAGTTTTTATCATAGGAAAATTCCCCGTGATCTCCTCTTTCAGAATACATATAATTATTTGAAAAAAGGTTAAGTTTTGACAGACTTATTGAAGAAATACTCTTTCATTTCCCTTACTCCCACACACCTTTCTAAAAATTCCTAAATGTTGGTCTGAAAACATGGGTCTCAAGCAGAAAAATTGTTATAACTTTCGTTTGGCTTTAGCTTTCCCAGATACTTTTTTTTTATTTTAAAAGTCTGAATCTGAGCTAACTTTTCATCGACCGGATTTTCGATATTTGATTCTTGGACTGAGAAAAGTCTGATTTAGTGCGCTTTTTATACCTAATTTGGCTGTCATACGGAATAAAATGCTGATAAAAAGTAAATGGAAGGGAATTTCAAAATTCCGTCCGATGAAACGTTGCGTATGGAGGCTAGCTTTAATTTGAAATCTACCCGACCTCGATAACTTTCACAGTCAAGAAGTATTTCGATTCTCGTGAACGCTATAAAACAAGTCGTAAGTCCAGTTTAGTAAGGTATACATGGCTGAAATTTTTACCACAAGCGTTTCTCACTGCTACCATGTATCCCTGAAAGTTTCAGCTCAAACCTATGCTCAAAACTGGCAAGTCGATCCTGAGGGGGGGGGGGGGGGGTAAGGATGAT